ATTATGCAATATGTTTGATTGTGTTCTGCTGACCTTGCTCTGCTAGGTTCATGGACATCGTTGTCACACTATTGTAAAAAATTGCACTTTTACCTTTACCTTACGTAACTGTGTTACGAAACTACATCGTTCAGACAAACCCGTGTAAATTATTGCAATTGGTTCAATGCAAATTTACGAGATGACAACGTATTGGACAAGACTTATTTTTCTGACAACACGGTGAATTCACAAAAGGAATGCAGAAAATCCACATATCTATCGGTAAGTTCAATTTCAGGCGTGTGGATAGCGATGTCGAGGAGGCGGATTTTGGGACCGATATTCTTTGACGACATGGTACCGTTATCGTGGGATGTTGCACGTGTTCATCGATCAACTTCATAATAACAAATTGCAAGAAGATTTTTTCTAACATGACAACGCAAGTGCACATACGGCTGCCACAACAATAAGATTTGTACAGGAGGATTTTGATGATCGAATGATCGGAAAGAACCTCTGGTCTCCAAGATAACCGGACTCGTGACCGGACTGCCCTTAGACTATTTTTTATTTGATCACCTGACAAACGTGACATCTCGAAACCGTTTGCACACAATTACCGGATTACGAGCAGCTATATAAGCTGCTCTTCAGAATACTTATCACGCAACAGCAGTTACATGCAGTCTTCGAAAACATGAAGAAAAGAGTGGATGCATGTCTTAATAGTAGTGGCGAGCACTTAGTGCAGTTGTTATAGTGTGCCGTGTGCATCTAATTTACACAATTACCTACATTGTTTTGTTTTTAACAAGTTGTACAAGAAATTAAACCATTTCAATTTTTGTATTAATTTACTATTTGTGTAAAAATTAATATGGTTAAACCGCTGATTGAAGTTAAACATAAAAAATTTACTTTATTTTCAATTTTAAGGTTATGTTTTAGTATGTGTGCACTATCACGCCGGTTGCGGCAAATTGTTACAAAATAGACATCCATAAAACTGATACTGTGGGAAGAAATAATAATCTAATCTAATTGTGTGTTACTTTCGATCGCAGTACGGCAGTACGTTTCTAATAACGAAACCTCGGAGTTTCTTCATTGACAAAGTGCCTACATTAGAGTCCATGATTCTGCATTAAGGGTTAGGTACATATTAGTGCCATTAAGAGGTTAACAAACATTTTGATGTTAGTAAAGGGCTTCGCGAACGTAATCTAATCAGTATGCTAGGTTTCCTTTTTTCTTTCATGTGGGAGAGTACCTCGTTACTTAAAGTGGGTTATAAAATTGATAAACAACCCTTATAGCGTTCTAAAATTTACGTAACATCGTTAAGACATAGTTACAATATTTGAAAATGATACGAATTTAAATACACCCAGCATTGGAAATGCTTTGAAGAGTGGGTATAAGTTAATACACTTTTGTGTGCATATTTACATTATGAAAACTCTTTAAATGCCCAATATTGAACATTACTCTTTGTTACCATCAACGTAGGTTGCAAGACGGTAGATATAAGTTTCCTTTCTAAATCTCGTTTGTTAATAACGAATTTCGCTTTCTGTAAATCAGAAAATTGATTTATATATAGTTAATTGTATCATTCCATATCATATCCCTTTCTACAGTGATATTCATCTAGAAATAGACATAGTGATTTCGGGATTTCCCTAGGGATTTCCTATGTCTACTTTCAAATGATAAAAATTTTTCTGAAAGACGCCTAATTTTATGCAACCAAAATAACTGATCTGGCTGTCATATTAATTATTAATTTTAATATTGTTGCTTTGGCCTCACAGAAAATAAATTTAACTGTTATCGGCACTATACTAATTGGAAATATGAACTTTTTCTTTAGTTGAATACGAACGAGTTGCATGCGAACGAAAATTAGAATACGGAAGTCGAAGCGATAATATATTAATATGAACGGCATTTGTTGTAGGTAGTTATTTTGGTTGCATAAAGTTAGGCGTCCTTTAGAAGACTTTTTATCATGTAAAAGTAGATATAGGAAATTCCTATAAGAAATCCCCATGTCGACTTCTACATGAATATCGCTGTAAATGCTCATACACAATAATTAATTTTTTTTCAAATAAGCGAGAATAGGGAGGTTGCCGAACCCTGTTTTCGCAAAACCGAACAAATGCTATCGTACTAGCCTACTCGGTGAAGTTCGAAATCATATCGTTCCACCAACGAAATGGAAATCAAAGAATCCGACATCCCTCAACAATTCGTTTTTGCATATATTAACGGAAATACAGAGTTGAATTCAAACTCACGCACAGTCGGATTGCGTTACTTTACACCCAGAAATGTTCCAATATTTCTAGTATCAAAGTATCCGCTTTATTTGTACACTCTAACGGACGTCAATGATAAAGTTACGTTCCTAACTCAGAATCTTCTTAATTTATTTGATCAATACTTTCTTCTCAAGACTGTAACATTTAAGAAACCTAAGGCACCGTGGCTTACGGATAACACATCAGACTCGATTCTTCTGCGCCATGATTATTTCAAGTCTGAGAGCACTATCACAATTTCAAACTTGTTTGTATTGCGACAGTCGCTATCACGCAAGTGAAATTGAGCGTATCCACTTGACAGTCTACTCTCAACACCTTCGCTATCGATAACTTGCATTGAATCTCTGATAGTTACTCTCACAAGTGTGTCGACTTGAAAGAAATGCTCTCGAGAGCCGATCTCGAGAGTATTTCTCTCAAATTGACACGTACCTTATGATGGGGTTGCGTGACAAGGCATACATTCGCTATAAATCTTCGAAAAGAGCTTCACATTGGGAGTATTATAAAACATTGAGAAATCTCCTGAATCAAGCCATCAAACACGAAAAAAGGGCATACTTAAATCATGTTTTGAGCAATAATAACAGCACTGCGTTATGGAAGGCTGTTAAAGATCTAGATATTTATAAAAGAAGTAACTCTAGTATACCTCAACATCTCAATAAACCAAATGACCTTAATAACTTCTTCGTTAACTCCATTCCTCAAGCTACACAACCGCTGCACACAACATCATTTACAGAATACTCGAGCGTCCATCCAAAAGTTTCTGACCAACTCAAATTTGTGCCAGTAAATGAAACTGTCGTCCATAAATTTATAAATGAAATAAAATCTAAATCCATAGGAGCAGACGATGTTGGAAATGAAATTGTTAGTGGTTTCATAGGTAATCACCACTAAACAACACAAAAAGAAACGAATCTAACTTTTTATTTTTACAGGAATAAATTGGCAATGTTTATCTGGCGAAGGCCAACAGTGTTATATCCTAAAACTATACCGCTGATCGTTTTCATCCCGGCAAAAAGAATGACAAAAAATCGTCCGGTACCTGCATTGTCGGGGTGACGTGATTTGTGAGTAATTTCATGTCAAAGTCATTGATCACGCCCGACCAGCTGGTCGAGAGTTGTTAGTTCTGTGGGTTAAGAGTCTTCTGTACCCACTGCACCCAATGTAAATTTCCACAAGAGCGCCCGCCATAAAAACTCTAGCTGTTTTTAAAAAAAATTTTTGTTATAGAACTATTTTATAAATTTAGACCTTTATCTACAAAATGTTCGGACTATTTTTTTTAAAAAGTTTATAGCAACTGAATATCGATTGTTTAAAGATTAGCTGTTTTGCGCCGATTATTGCACAAATTTGTTTCATTTTTTTACTCGCGATCAAGACGATTTATGGAAAAAGTAAACCGACAGTTTTTTAGATAAGTTCCTTCTAAACATTACCCCAAAAAATGAAATCATATTTTTTGTAAATAAAGTCTGTATCTTGGCGGGCGGTAAATCAACAATTTCAGTGTAACAAGTAGCGCCGCTGCTCAGTGTCGGCGGGAACTAACTAAGGACCAAGACAGGAGTTGACAAAGCAAAAATATCATCTTGTCTCTTGCAACTATAATCATCTATATACTATAATGTAAAAAAGTTGTGCTTGGGTAAAGAAGACTCTTAATGTCGCCGCAAAATGATAAGGTTGTGTTGCCCGTTTATAGTCCCTCACGTTACGCATTTTATTCCCTATTCAGTGGAAGGGTGCGCATATTCTACCTCTTCCGAAAAACAAGAATGCTCACTGTTTTAAAGACTTGAGGCCTATTAGTATTCTTCCGGCTCTTTCCAAAGTATATACTTGAGAAAGTAATGAAAGCTCAAATTTGTAATCATATCGAGAAATTTGAGTTAATCATAGTTGCGCTACAGCCATTCTTAAACTAACTGATGACATTATTCGAGCAACTGACGACGCCCTGCTTACTGTTCTTGTTATGTTAGACTTTTCAAAGGCATTCGATAGGATTGATCACACTCTTTTGGTTACCACTTTGTTCCATCTCGGATTTGATCGTTCTGCATGTCAACTTATAACACCTTATCTGCACGGTAGAAGGCAACGCGTTGTTGTAAACGGTATAAAGTCATTCTGGGCTGACGTTCGCTATGGTGTTCTTCAGGGCTCCATATTGGGCTCATTGCTGTATGTTATTTACTCTACTAATATTTGTCTAGTTCTAGAAAAATGTAAATACCTGTTGTACGCTGATGACACCCAAGTTTATTATTCGTTCCCTCCGAAGCATACTGATTCTGCTACTAAAATAATAAATAATGAACTTAGCAAATTAGCAGCTATCGCTATGAAACATAATCTACATTTAATTGCAGATAAGGCTACTGTGATGTTGTTTGGTCGAAAATTAATGAGAAGCAATGCATTATCCACTGTTAAGGTTAAAATTAATAATTTGGAACTATGTTACCTATTTAAGCTGTCGGGAATTGCGGCGAGGTAACTTAGGTTCCGCGGCTAACTCTCGCGCGGGCGTGGTAGTTCTTCAGAACGAACTCTAAATGAATGCTCGGGAGGCGCCAGGTCCTTATCCCTAGTGACTCTCCTGCCGGACCTACAGGAAGGGTATTGCCGCAATAGAAAAAGGAAAGAAACAAAGTGTGCGCCACTAATGAATATTTAATGTCAAATAAAACTAATTAAATTGTTCTCCTACTCTCACAACTAAATGAACAAGCCTAAGGTGACTCGAAGCGGCTTTAAATTTCGCGGTGACTACTTCTCCAAGAACCCCCTTGCCGACTAATCCGCAATACCTTTTGGTAATAATGACCACTGATTAGGTCGGCCGAACCCTTGTAGGAAGCGCTTTCTACCGGTCGCACCCTGTATAATATAAATTAAGTGACAGTAGTTCGGATAGGCTGTAATTTGGAACTACAGTAGGTAATTGAGTCGGGAGAAACAACCCCGATGTTAGAATATGGGCAACAATAAACTAATCGGGATATGCGATTATGCCAGCGTTAAGGTGTTTTCGTTCTTTGTGATTCTCAGAGCGTCTTTGTGCGTCAGCAATAGCTGGGTTGACGGTACGACGAATCACCTTTACATACAAGTAAGTGACAACAACATTTGTTACACAAATAGTGGCTCTGACTCCCAAACTTTTATATTTTATAATACTACCAACTACACAATTCATTGGCAGTGGCTCGTACCACCGAATGACTATTTCCAACTGCCCGCCTGTATCTACAAGTATGCCTCCAACTGGCTAGACGACTTCCCAATGGACGACACACATAGGTTACATGAAGACATACCAAGTCGTTGAGGGCTTCAATAACTGGCTACCTAACTTAAGCGTGGACTGCGAAGATGTTGACGATGTCTAAGTAACTTCCGATATCAGGGACGCTATATGCTACGGGTACGGAATGACTAACAGGTGACACGAACTTCAACCACTTTGTTTTTCCTAGGTCTCGGACAACGTACCTCTCACTAAAAGCTATAAACTACTCATAGAATGACACAAACGACATTGGACAACTACATACCCAGTTCGGCTTTAAAAGTAAGCGGCCTTTAAATCCCCAATACTGGGTAAAATTAATCAATGTATGCCTAACTGGCTCAATATCACAAAAATCAATTAATTTATGAATGCTTGTGCAACTAAAGATCGGTTAACGAATTTTTTTCAAAATTTGTATAGTTTGCACAGCAATGGCCGTTCATAATCTGCCTTTTACAACGGTCTCCTTTTTTAAAAGATAATCTAACTGGAATGTGACCTATGACATCCTATATGATAGCTAGTGACGAAAATATCCTAAGAATATGCAACACATCGTTCACATCATATATAGTATGACCCATTAGTAACTTAGGGTGAATTTAACATGTAACAACTACCTATAAGTTGCGAGGCCAGAAACTTGGGGATGTGCCTGGATACCAACTTCAGGTTTTTTTTTTTTTTTTTTTTTTTTTTTTTAAAGGAACAAATTGTTTAATGAAAATAATAGAACAAGAACAAATTACATATAAGAACGAGGTTTTAAAACATAATAAATTCAGGTTCACTGCCCACATTAACGGGTGCGTACGAAAATCCTTTTCTGTTTTAAAGCAATTATATCCCAGTAGGCGTGTTCTGACAACTGCAACTAAATAGTTATTTGTTTCATTAGTACAAAAAATGTCAGTTTTCGGGACGAGGAAGATAGTTGCTGGACGACGCGTTAGCGGAGTCCAGCAACCTTCCGAGTCCCGAAAACGCATTTTTTGTACGAATAAAACATAAAATTTTTTCTCCAACCCCCTTTACTTCAAATTGTATTCGAATTTAGATTCAGTCACAGTTTCACTAGTATAAAAACTTCTGCTTTCTTGTCCTCACGTGTCATGCCACTCTAGTTTTTAGGTTAACTTATAACCTATTCGTTCTTACTTCTCACCTCTCGCGACTTTGTAGGGAGCAAATCTAAAGTAGCATGTTCTGCCGTTTCTATAATTTCTGGCGGAGTGCAATAATCCATGTCGCTATCAGTTTCAGTCATTTCTATTGTAGGCATACAAAATTAACATTCTTATATTTTGTATTGAAATAAAAAAAACTTACCATACAGTTTTTTAATTAAAATTAATTGCAATTAACTTTTTCAAATTTTGAATTCAAAATGACAGATAATAGTGCAATGGGTTTGAAGTAGATGGCGTTACGCGCGACGGCGGGTTGTATACGTATTAAAATTACGTTCATCGAATATGTAAATTACGTTACACATGGTTTAAATAAAAATAGGGAGCGTAAATCATTTTCAATACATGTACATACGTATAGGTAACATCATTATTTGCATTGAATATGCAAAAATATTTGATTTGTATGTATAGAAATATCTTACAACCTGCAATGTAAAACGATGTCAATGTGACATATCTCCGTGATTGTAATTTTTTAATTGGCCAATTTTCAAGGTCAATTTCTTTTTGGTACTAGGACCAAAAGTATCCACTTTTTGTACAGTTGCCATGGTGAAAGCGATTAATCAGCAAAACGTCAATTTTACGTACCGAACACTGTCACAAAATAGCGTCTTATTCAGGTGGTTGGAGAAAAATACATTTGTGTGATTCCCTCGTGTTATCTCATTTTAACTTTGGAGATGTCGTATATGGAGCGTGTATTGATTCACATACAGCTTCAAGAATACAAAAGGTGCAAAACTCATGTTTACGGTTTATATACGGAATCAGACGCAGTGAACATGTTTCTCCTAAAATTAAGGAAGCTGGTTGGCTTAATATGTCAAAGCGGAGGACATTGCACTCATCAGTTCTTATCATAAAGTCATCACTACTGCGACGCCACCCTACCTGGCTGAACGATTACTGTTCCGCACTAATGTACATAGTTTAAACTTACGTCATAGGGGCTTGTTGACGGTCCCTATACACAAAACAGTTTATTTCCGCAGATCTTTTTCACATAATGCTTGTAAAGTTTATAATTCGTTACCACCGTCCATTAAAACTCTTTCGGTTCATGGCTCCAAAGTGCAAGTAAGATTACTACTGCAGCTGAGTAAGCTGCAATAAAGTGCGAGACAGTAGATGAAACTTTTGAGGTTGGAAATAATTTAGTGTTATTAGTGATCGTGCATTTATTTATTAGAATAATTTTTTGAAATGTAATAATACGTTGGATTGGGGCTGTATGGAAGAACAGGGTCTCTCGGCACTGAATGCAGTCCCTTTTCCTGTTTTTATTCGTGTTATTTGTAGAGTTTTGATTTTGTTTTATGGAGAATAAATTATATATTATTATTATGATTTCCCACTATTTTCATTACGTGATAATCGTTTCTTAAATTTTTTATATATTTCCATACCTACCTAATTTCGTGTGTTTATGTTTGTCGTTTTTCAATTGTTTTTGTACAAAACCAATATTGAAGCAACGAATCAACGATGACGATCAAAGAATGTACTGAAGAAGCGTCCAGGTCTAAATCTTCCAGTAGATACCTCGTTCCAGCCCTATATAGCAGAACTTTTCAAACTATTCATTTGTTCTGATATTCTGGAACACATGGTAAAGTTTACAAACCAAAATGGCTCTTTGGAGACAAACAAACATAATGATGATGACATCATCTTCGACTCGAGAGATGTTGACGAAACTGAAGTATATGCACTTATAGGATTCCTTCTCTATGCTGGAGCAATCATGAGTAATCGGAAGCCTTTGATAATGCTTTGGCAAAGCGATCTTTGCTTCAAACGACCAATATTTTTAGCAACGATGTCTCGTATCCGGATTTGTCAAATATCAAGGTTATACGAGATGTTCTTGAGATGTTTACAAACAATTGTCAAAAACAATACAACAATACAATCCAGAATCGCATTTGACAATTGACGAGCCATTAATGCCATTTCGCGGAAAGTGCCCATTTAAAGTGGACCTATATAAAGAGCAATCCAACTAAGTACGGCATTAAAATATGGATAATAGCCGATGCGGACACATCGTATTGTACAACATGAATAATTAGTATCCTTACGATTAAAGAACGGCTTAGCCTACTCATTCAATTTATTTTATAGCACATATTAAAATGACATTTTAATAGGTTTGAATGCGTTGGCTAAGCTGTTCTTTAAGGCGGCTCCATACGCAGCGGAAAACCCGAAGGCATGCCTTGAGGCGCAAGACCTCAAGGAAAACCTCTATGTGTGTATGGAGAATTCTGTTGAGGTTTTCCTGCGCATCTGACGCCTGAAGGCCGGAAATTTCAATACAAAATCTTATAGCGTCCCAAGGCCGATCGTATTGTGTGGATGGGTGGTAGGTAGGCTTCGATGCGATTCCGTTATAATACCCTATACGTATACCGTGTGGCAACCACCAAACCTGGCCATAGACGCATTTAAAATTACACAATTTTTAAAAAGAAATATGAGTTGTCATATGAAATATATATTTTGTTTAATGTCATATTGACACACGGTGTAGTTTTGTGTGAAAAGAGGTCCGTTGCATCAGGTTTTCATTTAGTCATGTCGCGTGCAAAGCAACATCAAGGGGAATTTATAGCCAGAAATCGTAGTGTGCCACTCAATCTTTCATGAGGTGTAATTGCGGTCCTCATTATGGTGTGCTTTTTCTGAATGATCGGCGTCACCAATGATAAGAGCCTTAAGTACATGTCCTCTTCCATCCGCAAATAATTGTGCCAATCTTTCGGACTGAACCTCAGTTCTTTTAATAAAGTTACATGGGCGTAACATTTCCTCTTTAGCGCATTTTCCAACGAAGTTGGGTGCGCTATTGCAGCCCCTTTCTCTGTCCGTCTGCCCGGGACCTTAACTACTACTACAGTTTGCAAGATATTTAGTTCGTTGTTTTTGCATTCGGTAGCGTATCGCTCTGGCACTTGAGTCAAGGAAAATCTTGACGATTGAACTGCGCAGTGCGCAATGTTAACTTTTTTATTTGTTAATATATTTTGTTGAAATTTTAATCACAGATACTTGTAGTAAAGGCAAATATATCGCATAGAGTAAAAATCAGATGTGCGCATGCGCAGACTGTGTATTGCATATTGTAAATATCAGATTAATAAGCGCATGCGCAGAACGCGCAATATCAACTGCACAGTAAGTGTCAACTTCCTTATTTATGAAGATATTTCTTTAAAATTTTAACCATATATGCCTCTAGTAATGAAAAACGTAGCGCACATAGGTATGGCCTTTGGGGAAGTATCGATCAATTTATGGAAAATGCGCTGAAGTTACTCGCCTTAGGGCGAAAACCCGCTTACTTGTTTGTAACCAGTCTTTAGTCCAGAACTTTCGCTTCACTCTTTTTTTATTACTTTCGACAGCTAACAATAATCCAACAACAACAAAAACGTCATCTGTCGACGTCATTTTTGCGCGAAACTGGCGTGCCTTAAGGCTGACCTTCGTATATTCCGTAGTGTGTGGAGACCCCCTATAATTTAGGTTCGCCTCAAGGCCTATCGCCTCCAGACATGCCTTCGGTTTTTCCGTTGCGTATAGAGCCGCCTTAAGGGTAGATAAAGTGAAACAAATGATTGTGCATTCTATGACATCTGTCATTCTTATTTCAAATGCACGTGCAAATGCATAAAATGACGTTCAACATATGACAAATCTGTTTCTATAGAAACGATCGCGACGGCAGAGCCTAAGCTTGGTATTTTTGACGTCTCTAAATTAAATTCAGAATGGTCAGAAGCTTTACAATTATTTATATGGCTTCTGCTATAAAATAAAGTTTTGTATTATACACGCCGATAAAGGGAGACTAACCATCTCGTGAAAGTTAATTCACTCGTGTATCCCTTTATCTTCTTGTATAATAAATAACTATTAACATGTGTTATAAAATAAAACTTAATAAATGTGTGGGCGTAGTGGACACATTTTTTCAAGTAAACATTTGCATTACCTACTCTTACTAAAATCACTAATTATAAGAGACTAATTATAAGTATATGTCTAGAGGGTCTGGTATTAGGCGTTTTAAACAGTACCCTTTGTTAGGAAGGTTAAATGATTTCTTTATTTTGCACATATTAGTGAATATTATAATGTCGCTGTGCTAATGGCATAAAAAAGCGTATATGAGCGAGTTCCTTTCTTCAACAAATAGCTTCATTTCTACATTGCATAAATCTGTATAATACAATTTACAGAGACTCATATCTGACAGACCATATTAATGACGTGAATATATCTACCAACTTTACTCGTGCAAGTGTTGTTACCTATTACCTGTACAGTTTGCACTTCCCGTATGTTGTATATTATAGAAAATGTCTGCAATTTGTAAGAAGTATTCCATTGCATACATCAGCATATTGTAGGTTTTATAAAGCTTCCATGTACACCGCATCATACTGCAA